GAATCCAGGAGTAATCAGTCTGCTGGGGATCGCTAATTACTCCTCCCTCCTTCATCAAAGATTTCTCCTCAATCTCAGAACCGCTGCGCAAGCTGACCAGACAAAACACACCCTGGGTACGGGGCCCAGAACAGAAAGTTGCATTACAGACACTGAAAGACAGTCTAACCAGCGACACTACAATGTCATATTCCTACCCAGGCAGAGAAACGGAACTGATAGTAGATGCTAGCCGTGTTGGACTGGGTGCTATCCTCTGTCAAAAAGACGTGCAAGGGGCATGATTGCATATGCCAGTCGGTCCCTTAGCGATGTAGAGAGGGAGATACTCTCAAACAGAAAAAGAAGCACTGGCCATAGTGTGGGGGCTGTGAACATTTCCACCTGTACATTTATGGGTCATCCTCTAACTCTGGTGACGGATCACAAGGCGCTGGAAATCATATGGAACAATCCCAAATCCAAACCACCTGCCAGGATCGAGAGATGGGGACTGAGGCTTCAGCCTTACGACTTCAAGGTTGAATACAGGAAGGGGGCTGACAACCCAGCTGACTACATGTCTCGGCATCCCATGTTCTGAGACAGGTGACAGCACTCGTGCAGCAAAAGTGGCAGAGGAGTATGTGAACTTCATTGTGAGTCATGCTACACCTAAAGCAGTGACACTAACAGAGTTGGTGCTCACATCAGACACAACACATGGCATAAAACTCACAAGTCACAACATGCTGACAGTTTAGACAAGTTAGCAGTGAACTAACAACATCACATGCATCTGGCATTATACTGCGGGGCACTAGAATAGTGATTCCCAAAGCCCTATAAGACAGTGTTACAACTAGCCCATGAGGAACACCAGGGCATTGTCAAAACAAAATCACTACTCTGAACCAAGGTGTGGTTTCCAGACATCGATCGCAAAGCAGAAGTCGCAGTACGCAGTTGTCTCGCATGTCAGGCCAACACACCAGTCACACACAAGGAGCGGCTAAAAATGTCAATTCTGCCAGAAGTTCCTTGACATAGTGTAAGTGCAGACTTCTATGGGCCGCTTCCGACTGGAGAGTACTTGCTTGTCATCGTGGATGAGTATACACGCTACCCAGCTGTAGAGAGCGTGCGGTCAACATCGGCGAACACAGTCATTCCGGTCATGGACAAAGTCTTCTCCATGTTTGGAATCCCCAGAGTTGTAAAAACTGACAATGGTCCCCCATTCACCAGTGACCAGTTCGCAGATCATCTAGGATTCCATCACCGCCGGATAACACCGCTGTGGCCTCAAGCTTATGCAATAGCTGAACGATTCATGCGCACACTTGGCAAAGCTGTTTGTCTGGCTGAAACACAGGGACTTCCTTGGAAACAACAGCTGAACATCTTTCTACGCGAGTATCGATCTACACCCCACAGTACAACAGAAAGCTCGCCTGCAGAACTGTTATTCCAACGCAAGGTGTACACGAAGATTCCTTCATTCACTCACACTGTCAGTACAGTTCAGACTCTGAAGTGAGGGCAAAGGACAGCAGGGCCAAAGCCAAATTGAATCTCATGCAGACTCTCAATGTTGTGCTACAACACACACTTCTCAAGTCAGTGAACTAGTTGTTTCTCGTTGAACCCAACCAAAATAGTCTCACCACACCATATAACAGTAGACATACACCGTGACCAAAGCCAAAGGATCCATGATCACAGCAGCCAGAAAAGGACACTCCATCGTCAGGAATTCTTCATTCTTCAAGAAGATCTCACCAGAAATATTGGACATCCCACCGGACACTGATGATGATTGTGATTACAGTGATGCCTCCACGAGCACAACAACGCCAAGATATCCCTCAAGGCACAACAGACGTCCTCCAGCCTTCCTACAGGACTATACTTAGCTTAGGGACTGTAAGCAGAAGAAATTTGTTGAAAGGGACTGTATTAGCCAAGGTTAAGAAGTTTGGTGATTTCCCCTTTTAGCAGTCTAAAATTAGAATTAGAAATACGCTATAAATATGAGTACAACGTTCAGTACAGCAGATACGATTGCTGAAGTTTATTTGATTTGATGTAATAGCAAGCCCAGTTTTCAGAATATTAAGATGACAGGTTTGTATTTGTTGTGATGTTCATGACGTAACCACGTCACCTGCAGATATAGACGCGCAAGACACGTTAGCAGGAAGTACGCAAACAGCGACGTGTAAGCCAGAGCCGGAGAATAAACGGCCGTGGATATGAATCAAACTGTTAGGTCTGGTGTATAAACCCATACAACGCAAACACTACATGTATGTGTGCGCATACAGAGAGCCGAGGAGAATTGTAAACGCGCAACCACATAGAGACCGAAATGACATGCTGTGGTGTAAATAAGATAAATGACTAACATATTAATTTGTTAATTATTATGAGGGTCGTTCATCGGCATGAAGTTAATTTCATGTGTCCGGAGCATTGTGACCAAATTCCATTTAAAGTCTTAAATCCTGAACCAGGACGTACTAAAGCCACCTGCTACACTGTAAAGTGACAGGCTGGAAGGGCTTTAAATGGTGTAAATATGAATGGGACAGAGCTTTGCTGCAACATATCACACTACCTGTTATGATGTGCAAACGGACCCAGATGCAACACGCAGGACCACCAAGGTTTCTCTTTCTCAAACAGGGGTTATTTATTTTCTCCGGCAGGGAAAAAAGCAAAGGCAACATGAAAACACAAGTCAATGGAGCGTGACAGGCAGAGGAGCTCGACTGCGTGACACCCGAGGCTCGACGCAGGAGTCTGTAGGTGCTCAGCTGATCTCCACGGAACTAACTGGCTGCCTCTTCGGCCAGGTGACTCTCCGAGGTTCGACGCTGGACGGCAAGGGTGAAAAACAAGGGGTTATCACAGGATCACAAGGGCTGCAGAAAAACTCACGGCGCCGAGGTACCGGGGTGGCTTAACGGACGGACTGACAGCTGGGGCGAGGAAAGCCGGAGTATTTATGTCAGCTGGTCTAATGGGAAGACGAGACACAGCTGTGTCAATGGAGGAAGGCGTGGCACTGGGCGGGGCTCTGAGGACACTACTGGGGACACAGAAACAAAAGCACAAGCACATGGCAAAACAATAACAAACAGGGGAATGACATCAACATGAGGAGAGAATATGGGGAAAACAGAGGGGAAAAACACCAGGGTTAGACAGGGATCCTTACACTACCAATATACAACTGTGGGTTTATTTCTACAAAATATTTTATTTTACAAAATGAGGTTATTTCAATGATCGAATGAAATTCTAACGAGATAAATAGCTTATCCTATGTGGGGTTTTTTTTCGTCAAGGGTTCTGTGGTAATGTACCATCACAGGCTGTGAACACTCACGTGCTGCCCTCTTTGTTTACCTTTTTCCTTTACCTCTAAATGCTGTTGTTACCCTGTGTGTACCTGCAATGCACTGTGGGTAATTCCTCTGGGCTCAAAATGGCTCAAAATGGCTCAAAATGTCCGTGATTTGACAGCTGGACAGAACTAAACCCTGAAGGGACTTCGAAGAGAGCGCGCCTCAGTGTGCGTGGAAGTTGAGGACGGGCCGATGGAGCGCGCCTCACCTTGCCTCTCGAAAGATGGCGCTTAATTTTGCTTCCATTCGAGCATTTGTCCTGTGTTGCGCATGTTGTACTGAGAGCTATTGTAATGTCACTTCGGGAAGGTGGTTTTGATGGTCGGACATTTCAAACACAGTCCGGCCAACTCAGACGAGCTAAATGTCCAGCAAGCTTCCCTTGGACAAGTTCAGGAGCCACTCGTGCAAGATGTTCTAACACGGTGGAATTCCACCCTTGAGATGATCAGCCGCGTGAGGCGCAACAGAGACACAGAGGTGTTCCGTGTCCCTGAGCCGCTGCTGCCGACTGCGGAGGTGTTCCGTGTCCCCGAGCCGACGACTGCGGAGGTGTTCCGTGTCCCCGAGCCGACGACTGCGGAGGTGTTCAGTGTCCCCGAGCCACCGACGACCCCGGAGTTTTCAGGTTTGCCCGAGCCAGCCATTCCAGAGACGTTCCGTGCCCTGCAGTCGGCGCTCCGGAGCCGGCCAAATGACCGTCCGCCGGGCCGACCCTCTTAGCCTCCCCGGTTGTCTGGTTGTCTTTTGCCTTGTTGCCTTTTCGACTATTAAAGTCTTTTTGCGTTAAACTCTGCATTTGGGAGGAGAACCCTGAGCCACCCAAGAAGAAAACAGCCCTGCTACTGATGGGATCAGATACAGAATCAGATGGGGAGACACCAGAAGACAATACTGTGGAGAGATACAAGGTAGAGCCCAGTTCCAGTCTTGATCAGTGTCCACTGAAGTGGTGGTCGGAGCACACTGCTGTCTATGGTAAGATGGCCCACATTGCCCGTAAATACTTGGGGACTCCTGGCACAACGGTCCCATGCGAGAGACTTTTTTTCCTTTAGCAGGCCATATTGTGCAGAAAAGAAGATCTAGTTTGTCACCAGAAACTGACTGTAAACAGTTTATCACGACTTCTTATGTACGACCTTTACAGTTCAAAATTCATGTTTAACTGAATAAACAGTTAGTAAACACAAGTACAGCGAGACTTAGTCCAGGTAAAAAAGAAGTCATCTTTATTTGCAAAAAAAAAAAGTTTCCTGATTTAAACAACCAAACCAAACCTAATTCATTAACTGAATGAACTTAACATAACTTTTTCTAAACGTGCCCTCATTTACACAGATGTTCCACCATTTTCCCCCAACAGTCCATGTCTTCATCTTTTATAGCGCCGTCAATCAACCCGCCACAGGTTACATTATTACATTACATGTAATTTAGCTGACGCTTTTATCCAAAGCGACTTACATTACATTTTTTAACCCATGGCTCTTACATTTTTGCCTGGGGAGCATGCACCATGTGCACAGGTGACACCCATTATGACACTCTCCCCCCCTGTATACCTGGTCCAACCCGATGATGTCACCGCTGACATCATCCCCTGCACAAACACTAGGCCTCACTGCCTGCCCTCCCCTCTAGCCTCCAGCACACCTGCAGAGCATGGCAAGCATTCAACCCACATACCAACATGGGGACAAAGGTGAGTTGTCACCCACTTTGTCACACATATTTTATTCATACTAGTATCTTGCAGAGCTGAGATGCAGTTGGCACTGCATCTCAGCTAACTATCTAGCCCTCTGAAAAGGCGTATATATTGTCTAAAAATGAATTTGACTAACACCTGCATCTTGCTCATAATATAGTTTTTATTTAAAGGTTTTATGAAACGAAATCAGGTAAAGTGAGACAATAACTTCCTTTTGAACTTTATAGTTTAAACATCACCTACAAAATAAGGGAAAAGGACATGTAGAGTGAGATGTCGCAACAATCAATATCAATCAAAAAAAATGTATCAATTTTCTTTGCATTGAACCACTGCAGCATTTGCAGCTTGATTCCTCAAACCTGGAGGAGATTTTCCTTTCACTTTCAGTCATGATGAATGTATTATTAACTCACTCAGGCTGATGGGAGGAGTCTTTCTGAAGAAACACAACTAGGTTTAGAGGCGACTGGTGGGTTGGACTATAAAGGGGGAGCTTTGGCAAAGTGGACATCTTTTCTCCAAGTGCGCAGTTGATTAAACATTGGTGGTTCTTGTCTGTTCAGGATGCATTTTTATGGAGCGCTGATCCTGTTTGTGACTGTGTCTGCGGGTAAGAAAAGTTTACAATCTACACACCTTAGCATGTAAATTGTTTTATTTGTTTAGGTTCTTGTGCATTTACTCCCAACTTCCTCTGCTCGTTCTCCCGTTGGAATCGTTTCTATCTATATTTCATGAAAAGAATGCACAGAACAACGAGCATTATATCTGGAGTATGTTTAAAACAGTTGTGTGTTTTTATTGTGTCTTTCCTGTACAGCATGTGGACTGACCTGCTACCAATGTCAAGGCAAAGGCTGCACGGACACGGTCACTTGTCCAGCTTCCTCCGGATTGGATCGGTGTACCAGCATCGAGGTGAACGGTGAGTGGTTCTTCCACAGCTGATGTTCAACATCTTAAACTCATTATCTATCCAACATGTTGCTGTGCTGAACGCCTGGTGGCTTTCATTGTTGTTGAAACTGAGTTGCTTTCCATCAGGTCTTGTCTCCAAGAGCTGCATGAGCAGTACACTTTGTGTTGCACCGATAACCTGCTGCTCCACTGACTTGTGCAACGGAGCCCCACCCACCGCCTCCAGCTCCACTGACTTGTGCAACGAAGCCACACCCGCCGCCTCCAGCATCCTCCTCCTGATGGCATCATCGGCCATCGTCACGCTCTTTCTCTGAGCTACAGATATTAAAATATATAACAATATTTGTCTTTTATCACCAATTTGTACAATTGAAGAAGAATAAACAAAGCCTTGATGTGTAAAAGCTGACTTCTCGTCAATATTTGTTCAATAATCAATATGATTGACATTGAATTGCTTAATTTTTTTAATTTTGACATTAATGTGTACGGTTAAAAACTGCTTTTCTATGAATCGTATTATGAATGATTCAAAAGCTAAGTGAGATTGGGAGTTAAATGCTTAACCATGCAGGAATTCCATTTTCAAAATACCTAAAAAAGCTCCTCTCGCTGGCTCATCTGTGCAGATAACAAAACTTAGGCCCGCCCCAGTGCATGCTGGTCCTGTACCGCCCACTCATATACATCCACCAGGTGATCACCGTGTTCCCCAAATCGTCAGCCATCGAACTAACGCAAAACAAATTATACTTAAATAAAACAAATAACTAGACGATCGACTATGAAATAGAAAAGGGCATCTTAACATATCGAACAATCTAACCTAAATAATGAAATACTTATTTATCTTTTCAACGGTCATTTCCTGTAACCTGTATGTGTTCATGGCCAGAAGCCACTCTGATCAGAGAGAGTTCTACAGCCTCGTTGTGACCTTCAGTCTCCAATGTGCAGTGAATAAAACTCACCTGAACCAGAATTGGACCAGATAGAAACTTTCCCCCAACACATAATTCCACGTGGATAAGAAAAGAAAAAGGAGAGAATCTAAATATAAAATAGTGGCGATTGAAAGACGAGTTGATCTTTTGAAGTTTTAGCTGAACTTTTTGCAACTCTGAAACTGCAGAGCATAAACATGCAGAGATGAACCAACCAAAATACAATCAAGCTGCCAAATATGACTTAAATCTATAACAAACTACTACTAAACCAGCCACTTGTTAGCAAGCGCTGACTGACAGCTCTGACTGCTCTGGTATCAAGGACTTGCTCATGCTTTGTTGGAAGGCCTCATGCAGTGAATCTGGCCTCACCAAGGAGCTCAGCTACACATGTTTCACGAGCTCCTTCTCAAACTGAACAAAGGTGGACAGCCTCACTATTGAGCCTCTGTGGTGTAAGAAAAGGAACGCTCATCAAATAGACCAGTATACCATTACTCAATAAACTATCACCATTGTACACAAATTGTTTCTGTCTTTTATACTTTTTGTTGTATTTTAGCATTTTGCACTTCAAACATGTAGAATGAACATGTGTTGACCAAGGAACTATATATATATATATATATATCTATAGGTTTCTTCCTGATAAACGTTTTATGCATTTGGATCATTTTAAGTAATGAACTGTGGTACTCCAAAGCTATGATATTGGGTTGATTATAAAAATTGCAGCAACAAAGTGACAACTAATATTATTGAATACAATTTGAGTCCTACTATTCAAAATGAAAACTTTCACTTAGTTTTTTCTGATTGCTTAAGCACATTTTTTGTAACTATTGGCTATTTTTGCAAAACTCTACACACAAATAAGAACCTTTCACCCAATTATCAAAACATTGTAGTTCTCTTGCAAAAGCGAACACAGCTAGATTAACCCTTCACACCTTCGTAAAAATTGTGTTTTCGTATCAAGCAGTCATCATCTAGTAAGCACACAATGTGCTAACTACACACTGATGGTATGAATACAAAACACTTTTCGTATTCATTTTGCTTTCTCTGTGTACGGATGTCAATTTGAGGTCATTTTGTCGTAGTGTCATGTAAACATACAAGGATCCAAACTTCAAGTATTGGTGTTTATTCACACTCATCAAAACCAAGACAAAGTCAGAACACAAAATAGTCATTTCACAAAAAAAAAAAAAAAAAAGACAATCAGCCTACATCATGTCGTCTTTCTGGGTCCGGCCACAAAATTTCGTTCACGTCGCATGCGATATCCTCTAGTCCAAAGGCACCGGGGAAAATATCTCCTTAAATGCCGTATCCAGGCCTGACATGATGCCTGGTCAATTTCTCCACATGCCTCCTGCATTGCCTGTAAAAGGCCTACCTGTTGATGAGGATGACGGTCGTACACCTTCCAGCGCCAGGCAGAGAGGAACTCCTCGATGGGATTTAAGAATGGAGAGTATGGAGGGAGGTTGAGTGCCATGAAGAATGGGTGGTCTGTAAACCAGTTGCGGACCAAAGCAGCCCTATGGAAACAAACATTGTCCCATATGATGACATATCGGGTATGCTCTGGTCTCTTATTACGTCCGGTAGCTAGGGGTTGACGGACATGAACATAAAACCAGATGGAATTGGTATTTAAAAGGATATTTATTGTTAATTGGGCAATGAACAGAGGTTACAAAAAAAGAGAATGAGGCCAACAGGTGCTGTGGAACTCAAAAATAGAATACAACCAAAAAAGATCCTCAAAAGGAAGATTATCTTTTTCTATCTGTTGAAGAAAACAAAAGAAGCCTGCTTTGCATATCATTAACTTGCACACATGAGGTTGCCTACGGCAGCCATAACACCCCCCCCCCCATAAACACAACCTCTTACGTGCACACAACAACACACACTACCTCTCTACTGTAACCTCGACAACGCGTCAGCCACTATGTTCTCTGAACCTCTTTTGGGGCGGACGTCCAAATTGTAGTCCTGCACAATCAGTGCCAAACGCATTAAGCGCTGATTGTGGTTGTACATACGGGAGAGAAAAACCAGGGGGTTATGATCAGTGTAAACAACGATCGGCAACATCCACCTCTGTAAGTGCTGTAAGGCCAACAACAAAGCAAGCTCTCCTTTTCAATGGTAGAATAGTTAAGTTGATGTTTGTTAAACTTTCTGGGAAAATAGCACACTGGGTGGTCTATTCCCTCCGCATATTCCTGTAGGAGAACAGCGCCGGCCCCGACCGCGCTTGCATCCACCTCAAGCTTGAACGGCTTGGCAAAATCTGGAGCCGCCAGCACGGGGGCGTGGCAAAGGAGCGCCTTGAGCCTGCCAAACGCGATCTGGCAGTCTGAGGACCACACGAACTCCATCTTGGGGCTCAATAATCGAGTTAATGGCTGAGCAATCGTTGAAAAATTACGGCAAAAAGCTCTGTAGTATCCTGCCATTCCAAGGAACGAACACAGCGCTGTACGCGTAGCGGGAACTGGACAAAGAGAAATGGCACTTACTTTAGCTTATACAGGGCGCACTTGTCCCTGCCCCACCTGTTTTCCCAAATAGGTGATGGTTGCTTTACCGAACCCACATTTAGCCAAATTCAATGTGAGGGTGGCTTGTGCGAGTCTGCTGAAGACTTGCTCCAAGATGCGCAGGTGATCCTCCCACGTATCTGTGTACACAATCACATCATCTAAATATGCGTTACAAATACTTACCCCACATAATACCGTGTTAATAAAAACGCTGGAAGGTGGCAGGGGCATTGCACATGGCAAACGCCATCACCTTACATACTGTGCAAAATGATCGGGATTAACAAACGCCGAAATAACAGCTGCACAATCAGTCAAAGGTACTTGCCAGTAACCTTTTAACAGGTCAAGTTTGCTTCCAAACTTGGCGTTCCCCAAATTGTCAATGCAATCTTCCATTGTCGGTAATGGATATGAGTTGCGCAGTGTAACAGAGTTCACTTTACGGAAATCAGTAATGAAACGAGGCGAGCGATCGGGCTTAGCCTCGACAATACATAGTGAACTCCACGAACTAGAACTGGGTTCAGCAAGCCCATGTTCAAGAAGATATTTCACTTCCCCTTTCATCAGTTCTCGTTTTGTTTGGTTGGCCCGGTACGGATGCTGTTTTATTGGACGCTGGTCGGTCAGCTCAATATCATGTTCAACTGTAGTTGAACATGATATTGAGCTGACCGGCACGTCACTAAACACACCGGTCGGTTTGAATTGTTCGACCAGGTCAATTACGTCCTGTTTATGTTCATCGGGTAAATGTAGTAGCCGGGAAGGTAACTGTGCTATGGTTTCGGAGTTAGGGAGTCAAGAGCCCAACTGGACTGGATGACATGGCCGCAAATCATCACAGTCGTGCGGAAACGCAGGATCAGTGTGTCACGCCCTAATTGTGTTCACCCGTTTTCACCTGTTTTTCCCCTGTCTCCTCCCACACCAGGTGTTCCCTGTTTGTCAATTATCCCTTGGGCATATAACCTGTGTCTTCTCCCTGTTCTTGTTGCCAGTTCGTCTTGTGTGTTTCACCAGGTCTTACCAGCGTTATATCCCAGTAGTTTCCAGTAGTTTCCAGTCAATTCTTGAGATCCCCCGTGTACTGACCCCTGCCTGCCTCCGACAACGACACGGCCTGCCACCTCTGTACCTCCGACGTCCTGTGTACCGAACTCCGGCCTGCCTCCGACAACGACACTGCCTGCCACCTCTGAACCCCTGATCTCCCGTGCACCGAACTCCTGCCTGCCTCCGACAACGACACTGCCTGCCCGAATTCCTCTTCATTAAAACCCTTATTCCCCATATCTGCGTTTGGGTCTCTGTCTGAGTTGTGATAGTACGAACTGGCCATGACAGACCCAGCAGAACCTGACTTCCTCCGGAATGCCGTCGCTCTTCAGGGAGTTGCTATAGGAAGGCACGAAGACATCCTACAACGGGTCATGGAGGGAATTCAAAGCCTCTCTGACCACCACGATCGGACATATCAATCCCTGATGGAG